AACAATATATAAAAATAAAAAATATTATTTTTTAAATGTTCATATATTTCATAACTCTTATGATTTTATTATTAAATCGAATATTAAATATACATTTTGTTCTAATTTTGAAATCACACTATTTTATTTCTTACATTATAGTTAAATTGCAAAAAATATCTTCAGAATGATTCATGGCTTATAAGCACACTTGTCTTTTCATTACAAATATTTACGAGTTCTGATTTACTAACAGAATATAAATATAAAGTATATATCTCAATAATTTAAACTATTTATGTATAAGTTTTACATATTCCTACTTTAATACACACACAATTGAGTGTAATAATTACAGATATATATATTAAATAATAAATGTTACAAGATTTTTTTTTATTCTCTTTTTAAGTTAACAGTAAACAAAATTTGAGTATAAATATATGTATCTCGTATTCATTTATTAGTACCTATGATTACTAAACTTCCAAATGTATTATTTCTGTAAATATGCATGCAGTAATCTCATTTAAGATACCTCATAACACTTATCATATAAAATAATTATTAATGTATTAATGTTTAGATGAATATATATGAAAATTAAATTATGTCATACCTAAAAATAATCTATGTATATATATTTTATAAGATATTTTTGATTTTTTGATTATTGATGTGTATAGTAGTTTAGAATATTAATAAAAAAAAATTAAAAATATTCGATAATTTTTTGAATTAGTTATATTAAGTACATTAGAAATATAGGATAAATTATAATACTTTATTATACGGCACAATAATGTCCTGTACATATGATAATATGATATACATATTAGTAACTCAATGTTTAATGTATAAAAGGAGATTTATTAAATTTACCTATTCAGGACATTTTAATGTGTTTTATTTGTTAAAAATTTTTATTTTCTTTAAATGTAAATGGGATTGTATTATGATAACACACGCATCACATAATTAGAGTTATGTTTACTACCATTACACAATTTAATATATAATGGATAAATGCCTGAATATAATTGTTAGTGAATAGCTAATTTCCTAATATGGGATTTATAATGAGAAAGAGTTTTGGAAAAAGTATATAAAAACCAAAATTTAAAAAACGTTTTAACACGTAAAATAAAGTCTAAGAAAATATATAAAGAAAAATAGATAAAGAATATAATATTTTCAGACTAATTGATTTTTATACTGAAGAAAATATTTTATGGAATGTGTAGGATATATAATTTGGTTAAAGACAAGTATTTTAATAAAACAAAATTGTGATTTCTCAATTAGGGCACCTGATAATTGCATTTTCTTTATCCTATATTATTTATATTTTAGTGATTATTTTTTTTTTCTATGATGCGTTATACGTAAAAATACATCATATTTTTTTTTTTGGCACAAGGTCATTTTCTGTGTTACGCCAATACATACACATATATTTTAAAAAATTTTTGAGGATCCATAATTTACATAATATAGAAAAAGAAAACCAATCTGATGTTTATATTTGTTCTTTATAAATGTATATAAATAATCATTATTCTGTTATAATTATTTGTATAAAATCATATATATAATTATAGTTTAGGATATTCATAATTTCTGTAAATATATATAATACTGAAAATGTAACCATAGATCCTTCATAAAATAATACATATATGTATAATTGAAAAAGATGCATATTGTCGTGATTTTATTTGGATTACTCACAGTTGTTTTATGAAATATTTTTAAATATTGTGTTAATAATACAATATTATATAGAAAATTATGTAATTCTTCATACACACATATGAATGGAAATACGCAGATCAAGAGATGCAGCTATATATATTTAATTATTTAAAACGCATAGACAAGTATTCTACATCCTATTTACATGGGACTTGATATATAAATAATATAATATCACTTAATTGTATTTTTTTGTTTATACATATAGTAATCTTGATGCATTTCAAATTTCTTTTTTTGTTATTTTTGATATATTATATGAATATAATAAAAAATAGACGTTTAATTCGTTTGGATTATAATACACAGATGCCTAATTAGTCACCTTATGAAAAAAGTTAAATTTTTACTGGTTTATATCTTCTATTTAAAATAGGAATAAATCTAAAGAAAATATCTTTATAAATATTATTAACTAAAAATTATATTAATGCATATATCACATATTAGTATATATTTAAATATATATAATAAGGATATAAATCATTATAATGTAGAATTTCATATAAATTATTACAATAAATTCATATTTGTGTATAAAAATATTTTTTAATAATGTTCTGATTATAAACATAGTTCTTATAAGTATCGTTAATATATTTATGAATGCAAAAACAACATACATATAGACTTCATATATAAAGGATAAAATATAAATATACATTCTAAAAAAAAGTTAAATAAACCAAATCTACGTTACATGATATTTATTTAATAATTGTATATTTACCAAATATAGAACATTCTTTTAATATCATAAATTATAAAGACATATATATCATATATATCTTATATTCGCATTAACTCATTAGTGTAGAATCTAAGGAATACCTTTTAATTTATATTTATATTATATATTAATTCATAACTACATATAAAAGCATGATTTTATACTTTAATGGGACAAAATACTGTCTCCTGATTAATTTATGAAGTTAGATATATAATTACATAGGAATTAAATAATAAAATAATTAGAAAAAACGTTCTTCCTTTTTAAAAAGATTACATGAAGATTTATTAAATATATTTTCACTTTATCTGTATTAGTACATATTATATGAGTGAATATATAAAATATAATCATCTTATATATTAAAATATATATTATAAATTCATTATTTGTTCAGACATAAAAGGAATGCATATATAATATTAATAATGTAGTACTATGCAAAATATCATTAAGGAAAATAAATGTATAAGATTTATCAATTTTCATGATTACTTAAATTTGTATTATAATTAAAATCAATATATAGCGATTAATTTTTATATTATTTCGTTACAGCATATTTCAAATAACTGTTTCTGCAAATAAAATTGTACTACTATGTGAGTTATCTGAGAATATTTTGTTTTAATATATCAATATGTAACTTTTATTATTAAGATAAATATACAAAAAATGTATATTAGCTTATACCATATATTTAATCTATAAAATAATAATAATTTTGATTTTTTATTAAAAATGTGCTCTAAAAAATTGATAGTAACATTATGTGATATAAAATAAAAATAATAATATATAATGTATGCTTTGATATTTTAGGATATCAATATATATAATATGTATAATAAAATAAAAAATATCCTTCTTATAGATTTTGCTCTAAATTATCAGTGGTATAAAAATTATTCATGTAACGGATAAATAATGTTTTTCTAAATACTATAATAAAAAACCCCTTAATTATAATGCATTAAATGTATATGATATTCAGTAATTCACACATAAATAAGATACTCCTTTAAAATAACTTATAAAAAATAAATTTAATATATATTATTGTTTCTTATATAAAATATTTAGCCATTATATGGTTATAATGGATACATTATAATTGCAACAAAATGTTTCATCAATATATAAAATATGAACTAAAAATCTTATTCTATATTATATATCCACAAATATCCACAAATTGTTCCTTACTATTAATCTCTTTTATTAATAGGATGGAATATATATTTTAAGTATCTTAGTACTGAAAATATTATACACATGGTTAATGATATTATGTAAATATAATTATAACTTATAAAATATCCAAAAAACAGAAAAAAGCGTATTTCCTAAGTTATGAGAAATAATATATATTTTAACTATAAATACCAAAAAATCACATAAATTAATTGCATTATATGATTTTTATTTTATGATATATTTTTTTTGTATATTTATTAAGAGATTTTATATTTCAAGGACACATTTGTTGAAACACTGAAAAAATAAAAAGAATTAAGGATAAATAATATATTTCCTAATTATGTCATATTAGATATATATGGAAAATGTTCTGTTCCCTTATTTCATGAAAATTTATTTATAATTATATGTATATATGCTTTATATATATTATAATTGTAGAAATATATATATTCATTTAAATAATAAGTTACATGGAGTCTTTTACCCATATTAGTGTTATATAATGTTCAACCATAAAAATATACTATATATTTTATTTATATATAAGATATGTAGGTATCATTAATTTTAATAACATGATGGAAACTTATATATAAATTTATTGAATAAATAATCAATGAATAATAAATATATGTTCTTAAATATATAATAAGTTCATAAATATTTAATAGACTCAAAATTATAATATTTATATTTTATTCAGCATTAGTTAATATGATATTTATATCATTAATTCAATATTTAATTCATGAAAATATTATAAACATATTTTTATTTAAATATATTTAATGCATCTTTAGTATGTAGATTAAATTATTAATTAAATTGATTTTATTATAAATAAGAAAATATGTATATAAAAGTTATACAAATTAATTATATATTTAATTTATAAAAATAAGATTTTTCTATCCATGTCCATATATTTCCAATATATACATTCAAGAAAAAGACATAAAAATAAATAATATGAGATAAGTAAGTATTATATAAATATATATAATTCATAGTTTATTATTTTGGGTGAATAATTTATTGCATGATTACTATTTATAAAATAGTATTAAAGAAATTACTTCTTTTTGATCTTATATTTTTATTTAATTTCTGAGTTATATATGTTTTATACATATTATTTTATTATATAAATAAATGCTTTCCTTATCTATAATTTATTATTTAATCATATT